ATAAATTACAAAAATATTGTGGCAAACGCAAAATTTTGGTTACTAATTCCAAAGCAGCTACAGTGTCTCACAAAAGTCATGGGACCTTGTGCTTTACAAAAGGAAACGTAGTAAAAAGTTTAAAAAACATGTAAAAATGTTTTGTGGGTGTGTTTATACTTAAATTTAGTAAAAATACATAACAGACTTTTTCTCAAAATATAAAATATCAATTTAAAAAATACAAATTTCAGACGGAGCAAAAATGACTCACATAGTGATGGGACACTTACTTACATCAAATATTATCCAAAAATTTCTTAAATGTTTTTATTTTGTTGGATTTCCTTTTGCTTTTAAAACATTATTTAATCTTTTGGGATGATTTGACTAATTTGTGATTTCGGAGTGATTTTACCCATTATTCTTGAAGCACCAATTTAATTGTTGTTTTGAAGAAATGGTAACGCTTGCGAATTCTTGATTCCCTTCTGCCAAATTCTCTAAGGATTAAGTCTAGAGATTGTGGTGGTTTTTTTATCCAGGACAGTTATACAGCAGCCAGAGTCTCCGTTCAAAGCAGTGTGCTTGGTCATTGTCATGGTAGAATTTAAAATCGTTATGAAGGTTCAATTTTCGTGCTGAAGATTTCAAATTTTGATTTAAAATGTCAATATAATTGTACTGATCCATTATACTGTCAAAAACCAAGATTACCAACTCCAGCGGAGTAGTACAGACACTTCCATACCATAACTCCTCCTCACCATGTTTTACTGTTGGCACCAAGTTCGTTTGCGAATCTTCCTGGGTTTTCTCTACACCAAGATTCTAGCGTCAGAATCAAATATATTAATTACTCTCATCAGCAAATATAACTTCATTTCAGTATCAGATTCTTATTTATTTGGATTGCGAAGCCAGTCTGAGTTTTCTTATCTTTCCACTTACGAAGAATTTTTTTCCTGCCTGCTCTACCGGTATCCAGATACCAGCAGACACCTACAGATACCAGAGAAAGCTTACCAAATATCCAGCAGATCGATACTCTTCTAATAGTCTCAGATTAACAATTCTCCATATAATGCTTGTAATCACAGCAACTTAGGAGCACTCATCTTGGATTTTTTAATATTCAAAGATAATCGCTTATTCCATTGGATAGCTTGATCGTCGTCCAGGTCTTCTTTTATCCTGAAATATATGATTCTTTTAGTTTTAATGATTGAAAACTGTTGAATTACTCAAGTTAACTGTTTCAGCAGTTTCTCTAATAGATTTTCCACGTTCAATATGCAAATTAATAACTAATTTTCGAATTTCAGGCAAAGTTTCTTTTCGTTTAGCATTTATGGCTGCACAGAGCGAAAAAACACGAAAATTCCAAAACAAACTGGGGGGAAATACTGCAGACAATTATATAAATTATTGCCAATTGCTTTTGAGTAAAAATAAAAAACCCAAAAAATATATTTAATGTAGTACTTAGTAGTACCTAATGGTGTCCCATCACTTATGTGAGCCATTTTTTGTTCCGTTTTAAACAATTGTATTTTTATTAAATTAATATTTTAATATTTTGACAAAACGTATATTATGTAATAATTGTTACTAAATTTAAGTATGAAACACACCCACAAAAAATTTTTACATGTTTTTTTTTTAAATTTATTTTATTATAGTAGTTTCCTTTTATAGAGCACAAGTGTCCCATCACTTTTGTGAGACACTGTATATTATTCAGTAAGCTGTAAAACGTTGGAAGTAATTGCTTTTAAAAATATATAAAATATCCCAATTCTTGCAACAGTCACATATTCGAAAATCATAAGGGCTTTAAGGTGTATGAGCCCCCTTAAGAGTGTCACATAATAGCAGATACCGTGAAAACTGGAACTGATTTTTTATTGTCATTAATTATAATTTATATCATGATTAGTATATCTATAACATCCAGTTTCTAAAAGTGCCGGATTTAAACTTTGTTTTAGGAATCAAACTGCAGTTTGTCAGAAGGGATACATGAAAATCTCTGAAGACTTGAAAGAATTGAATGAGGAACCATTGCGCTCACCAGGGCGTTTCTCGTCCTCTCTACCGCTGCGAGGGCATGAGGAGCCCCAAGGGCGTGCCGTCCCCAGCTTTGGCGAGTTCTGCGGTTCCATGATCGAACGGAGTGTCACATTCTTCTCCCAGGAAAGCAATGTGAGTGTGACAGCTGTAGTTCCCAGCAGAGCTTCTATTCCTTCAACGTCTTTTGGACTATATCTCACTTACAGGTATGCAAAAATATGATTTTTAGTCTTTCTATTTTCAGTTATCGTAATTAATACCCATAATGCATCAATTTAATATTTAGAACTGCTATCTTAAAGTTTAAATGTATATATATAATTCAATAAAGTTCTAAAAACTGAATTCGAAATACTTTACGTGGTTGATGTTTAAAGAACTTGTAATAATGCATAGATATAACGGTACTATTCCGTTTTGAGGACCGTAAAAAATTACAGCTAAAATGTATGCGCAAAAGCGCCAAATCTAGCAAACGCGCCCATTTAACAGCGCGCCAAATCTAGCGCACGCGCGGATTTCAGATTGCGTAAGTTTATATAGTCCTTATTTCTTAAGACGTCATTGAAATACTAGTTCAATTTTTAAAACCTTTTTTGATTTTAAATCATTTTTTAATATCCTATGGATTTAACAATTTGGGAATTGCCCATGACGAAAAGTCGGCAATAAAATTTTGGGTAAAGTGCAGAATCACCCACTGCTTGACGGGTTTTTAAGAATTGCATGTACTCGGTATCCATGTGCACATCGACCTATTTTCACTTAAAAAAAAATCCTAGAATTGCATAAAAATGGCACTGCGCACACCCTTAACTTTATATATGTACACATCGATCTATTTTCACTTGAAAAGTAAAAAGAATGAAAAAATCCAATTGTTTTTACCCTTGTAAAAAGCGGCGAACAAATAAGTGAGGATTCTGGCACTTTACCGAGATATTTTCCAAGAAAAGGCGTCATTCATTATAGAAATTACATTTGAACTACCTACGAGATGAAATTTGCTTTAGCGATAAGTCGGTTAGCGAATAGCGATGCAGGCATCCATTCAGTTATGTTTAGAAATTTTTATATAAATTAATAATGATTTGAAATAGTTATTGACTTTTATTCTTCCATTCAGTCATGTTTAGCCTTTTCATATAAATTATAATAAAATTCATAAAAATGTATATATGAAATTAACCTTTCATCTAAATTAAGCAGAATCTTAGCGAGGTTATTTACTATTATACTTCCTTTCTTGCCGCAATTATTAGATTAGGGTTGCCGCTATTATTTTTGGCAGCATTGGCATCAAAAATAGTTTGGCGATTTTTTGCGGCCCTCGAAACCGAATAGTACCGATATAACTGTGTATAAACTGTGGCCATAAAAGCCCTTACTTAGTTTCGTAGACATGTACTTCCATTTGCAGAAATAAAAGCGGAAAACGTTCATGATTTGGAAATTTTAAATTTAAAATCTAATTTTCAAAGTTTATGGAAATTAACATTTTATACAAATCCCAGTTCCCTATAGATATACAGGGTGTTTATAAAATCCAGGACCCATTTTGATGTTTAATAACTCATAAAATAATAAAGATATATCAAAATTAATAGCATAAATGGTTAGATAGACTCAAAAAGTTTCATTACCCTTGTCAATTCCACGTGTGTCCCCTTCGTCGCACGGAGAATATCAAGTCGATATTCAATTTCACGCCAGGTACCGGCAAGCATGTCGGCATCCACAGAGACTATTGCGGTTCTAATTCTGGCTTTAGGTCATCAATGTTCGACACTCTCCTCCTGTAAACGTTGTTCTTTACAAATTCCCAAAGGAGAAAAGCAAGTTATATCAGGTGATCTGGGTGGCCAAGGAATTGGACCTCCTCACCCAATCCATCTATGAACCACCATAAAATTTGTGCTTTCTCTTGCGGTCGAATAAAACATCACATACAAAAAAACTAGAACAAACACGTCAAAAGTAAACATAACATTGCAATAGTTGCCAAAAGCAAAAGAGAGAAAATGCAATTAATAAGCAGACTACAGATATTTTAGACTGGAAAATGAAATTATCTGAAATTAACCACACGCGCAGACATACTAAAAAAGTAAAGATAAAAAAAAAAAAAAAATATATAAGTTATTCCATCCATAAATGCCATACGTTTGTTTATATCTTCATTATTTTACGAGTTATTAAACATCAAAATGGGTCCGGGACTTTAGAAACACCATGTATTTAATAAAAGTGCATAGTCATTTAAAAAAAAATAAAACACAATTTGTTTCATTAGAGTACAAGAAAATTTCATAGAGACATTTAATTTTAAGTTTTGGGATTTTTATAAATTGTTTAGTGCCATCAAATGGAACATACAAGTTTCCTTGACATGTGAGTTAGAATAATTCGAGGTTGATTTTCATTTCCATCTAACGTCATTCAATGATATTCTTCTGTGATTTACTATAGTGTAACATTAGTTAATTCATTAATTCATAACTTTGTTACATTTAGTGTGCTGAATACATGATCTAAGCAATCGAGTATCTAGTCAGATATTGAGGCCTTTTTCTTCCCCTTGCACATACAGTGTCTCAAAAAAGTGATGGGACACTTGTGCTTTACAAAAAGAAACTGTAATAAAAGAAATTTAAAAAAAACATGTAAAAATTTTTTGTGGGTGTGTTCATACTTACATTAGTAACAGTTTACATACATACATTGTTCAAAATATTAAAATATAATTTAATAAATACAATTGTTCAGAACGGGGCAAAAATGGTTCACATATGTGATGGCACCTACGTACTATGCAACAAAAATCGTCTGAAGTAAGAATAAAAATATCTTTTGGGGGTTTATTTTACTCAAAAGCAATGGCATAATTTATAAAATCGTCTGCAGTATTTCTCTCCAGTTTGTTTGGAATTTTTGTGTTTTTAACTCTGTGCAAGCATGATGCTAAACGAAAAGAAACTTTGCCTGAAATTCGAAAATTAGTTATTAATTTGGATATTGAACGTGGAAAATCTATCAGAGAAACAGCTTAAACAGGTAACTTGAGTCCTTCAAACAGTTTCAATATTTAAACGAATAAAAAGAATCATTGATCAAGGATAAAAGAAACCTGGCCGCCATGGACATACAATGGAATAAAGCGAATTCGTTCGAAATTTAAAAAAAATCTAAGAATGTGCTCCTAAAATGCTGCTGATTACAAGCATTATATGGAGTAATTGTATCCTGAGACTATTAGAAAGTATTCTATCTGCTGATCAAAGTAGAGCGCCAGGAAAAAAAATTCTTCCTAAGTGAAAAGAAAAATTCAGACTGGCTTTCCCAAATGCACATAAATAAGAATTTGATACGGAAAGAAGTTAATTTGCCGATGAGAGTAAATTTAATATTTGATTCTGACGGTAGATCTTGGGTGGAGAAAACCCAGGGAAGAATTTCGCAAAAGAATTGGTTGCCAACAGAAAAACATGGTGGGGAGGATATGATATGGGAGTGTATGTCATCCGCTGGATGACATAATTGGTATCTTGTTTCGTTGACAGTATAATGGATCAGTACAAGTATATTGACATTTAATCAAAATTTTAAATCTCAGCACGAAAATGAACCTTCATAACATTTTAAATTCTACCGACCTGACCCTAAGCACACTGCTTTGAACGTAGACTCTGGCTGCGTATAACTGCCCGAATAATAAAAACCCATCAAAATCGCCAGACGTAAATCCCTAGGGAATATTGGTAAGAATGGAATCAATGAATTCGAACACACCATTTCTTAAAAAAACATCAAATCATGCTTCAATAGATGGGGTAAATCACCCAGAAATCACAAAAAAATTAGTCGAATCCTCCCAAAATATAATCACTTCAAAGTAAAGGAATCCCACAAAATATTAAATTTTAAGAAGTAAAATGTTTGATAAATTTGATGGAAATAAGTGTCCCATCACTATGTGACCCTTTTTGCTCCGTTCTAAACAATTGTTTTTATTAATTAAATTTTAATATTTTGAGAAAATCTATGTTATTAATAATGTTTAATTTAGTATGAAACACACCCACAAAAAATTTTACATGTTTTTTTAAATGTATTTTATTACAGTTTCCTTTTGTAAAGCACAAGTGTCCCATCACTTTTTCGAGACACTGTAAGCTATAAAAAAATGTAAAAGTAAAATGTCACTTAGACATTGAATAAATATTGTACTCAAATTGTCACTTAAACATTGAATAAATATTGTACTCAAATTGTCACTTAACATTGAATAAATATTGTTTTCAAATTAAAATATTACATGCAAAATAACATGCACTTACTAAGCTTTAGCTGATGTAGCAACTTTTCACGAAGCTGTTACGTCTAGCAAATTTAAAGCCGATTTAAGCAGCTCAATAGTACCAGAACGTTATCGCACAGTAACCAACTAGCGATAGCTGTCAAAAGCTCTCGTCATGAAAATTGAGAACTCTGCTCTTATATGCGTTTAATTTGCCTCTGCCTGACAATACCTGCTTCAGATTTCATGTTGAGACCCCTCAGAAAAAAATTACTTTTCCCAACATATCACAGATTTCTGGTCACTTTTCAGAAGCGAATTATAGCAACTGACTTAGGAATTTAAGCTATTCTAACAGAAAAGGAATTTGGGGATGTATGGATCTTATCTGTCTTAGCAACTGAATCTAAGTGGGCGATAAAAGCAGTGTTTCCATCCTACATAAGCTGGTTTCTGGAAAACATGATGTCCATCTCCAGTGGAGTTTCATCTCATGTCGACATTTACTGCAATGAAACCGAGAGCAAAATGGCAAAGGAGAGTTGTACTCATTTTACTCCATCCTCATCCGACTTTACATTTTTGGACCTATTCTCCCTCAAGAAGTCACAAAATATGGTGAAGTGGTTGTCACAGCCCACCCATCATTCGCAGCTGGGTAGTAGGCCGAGAATGGTCCAAACCCTTGCATGTGGCAGGGGCTTGTGGACTGCGCTTTCACTACTAGAAAGTGGTCACATCAAGTGCCTCTCTTTCTGTTGGGGGTGCAGGAAAGTCATCGACACCTGCACTAAGAGCCACGAACATCAGGCTTCGGTTGAACGTATCTTCGATTGTTTAGGCTCTCAAGAGAAGACATATTTGCAAATAGTATTCTTGTTCTCGACTTTCGTAGAGTCAACAGAGTTA